GAGACAGAAAGAGAAATAGATATAGAGAGAGAAATATACAGAGAGAAAAAGACACTGAGAAACAAATAGACACACACACACACAATTTTTCCAGAGACACACACTTAGGCACAAACATATAGACACACACATGGATGGAGACAAACAGGCACGGAGAGACATACACATAGAGATAGACATAAAGACAGATAAACTTCTCTTTTCCTGACAGTGCCGCGGGATCTTTAACATCTGCCTGAACAGGGCACAGACTGGGAGCGAGGTTTAATGTCTCACCTGAAGGACAGCATCTCAATCCCACCTCCCTTCTGTGCCTTGTTCAGGTGGACATTAAAGATCTCACAATGCAATTGGAAAAGATTGCATGACCAACATTCCACCCAAATAAAATGAGTTGCTCACTTCACTCTGGTTTTCGCTGGATCACGCAAACCTTGCTACGTGCAAAGTCACACCACTGGACAGCTATTGCCTGTTTCTCTGTGTGTGTCTATCTCTGTTCTCCTTGGCTCCCATGAATATCTTCTATCCTGCGGTTCTAACCTTCTCAACCTCCTCGGTCTATCCCTAAGACTTACTGATCCTGTGCGTAATCCAGACATCCAATTTGACCCACAGTTGTCCTTCCTTGCCTACATCCAGTCCCTAACCCGCCTTCCTCCACCTCCGCCACATTACGCGCCTCTGATCATACCTTACCCCAGATGCAGCCAAAATACCCGTCCATGTGTTCATCACTTCCCATCTCCATTATCCCAACACCCTCCATGTTGGTCTCGCCAGCACCACCATCTACACAATCCATTTAATTCAAAACTCTGGCAGATGTATACTCGCCTGCACTAAACTCCATACCCCATCACACTAGAGTTCAAATTGGCTGCTGCAATTCACCCACAAAATATACAGTCACTACACTTTACAGTATATCCTGTGAAAAGCTTTGAGAGTCTCAATGATGTGACAAGGCGCTGTATTAAATGCAAGCATTATGTTATTATTCATTATAGGAAAGAGAGACGGAAAGAGAGGGCAGGTGTTTAATGCAAGGCAGGAAATCTTCCCCTGAAAGGGTTAAAATCTTATTTTTATATGTGGACCCAGATGGGAGGGGGCTGCAGACATACACTGGCTTGTTCATGCAGCTCGCTTGTCAGTCTCACAGTGTGCGTTTCCATCAATCGATCTGGGGAGCAAGATAGAGAGAAAAGGGTAGAAAGAGAGAGAAAGGGGCAGAGAGATAGCAAAAAGGATAGAGGGAGAGAGAAAGGGACAGAGAGAGAAAGAGATAGAGGGAAAGGAGGGAAAGGGAAGGAGAAAAGGCAGAGATAAGAGAGAACGGAACCTGTTTTGCATTTTTTGGGTTGCAAAATATTTCAGTGCACCTGCCTGTCTCCCCTCTGTGTGTCTCTCTCTTTCCTCCATCAGTGTGTGTCTCCTCTGTGTGTGTCTCCTCTGCCTGTGTGTGTCTCTCCTCTGTGTGTCTCTCTCTCTGTGTGTATGTGTGTACCTCTCTTCTGTGTGTGTATGTGTGTGTGTCTGTCTCTTCCCCCCCATCTGTCTGTCTCTCTCTCACACACACATACACCAGGACTGTGATTGCAGCTGAGAGATGCACCGAGCTCCAGCCGATGGAATAGCCAGCAGAAACCAGACAAGGGATTATTGCTTCACCTCTTACAAACGACCCTTTGCTCCTGGCCAAGACACAGCGTGTCTATTTTAACACAGCATCACCCCCTCCCCACCCAGAGAGCATCCCTCTACACAGCAAGGTAAGATTTGCTATTTAATTTATGTGAGAAAAGAACATGGGTGATGGGGGAGGAGGAGAAAAACCCTTATCTGCTTCCCCCCCCCCACCCCCATCCTCACACACACAAAAAAAATCAATCCGTTAATAAAATGAAATATTTACATCTATTTTATTATTTATATTTATTGCCCACAAAATATAGTCAATTCACTTTACAGTATTTTCTGTGATGCGCTTTGAGACATCTCAACGTTATAAGGCGCTATATCAAATGCAAGGATTATTATTTAAAAATACCAATCGCTTTCAAAGCTGAAATATGATGCTATTATTTTAAAAATTGTAACCGATATTTTATTGATCTGACATTGTGTATATATATTATATATGATATATATCTGAGTATATATGTGTGTATATATAATTTATATATGTGTGTGTGTAAATATATATTTGCATTCTCTCACTCTCTTTAAAAAAATCTTTTAGATTTGCAAATTTTATTTATAAAGGGTTTAGTTAATAAATCTCTTTATTTCTGATTATTCGCTCCCCTGAAACCAATTCAAGCTAAAATTGACAATTTTCTTTTAATGAGAGACAGACTGAATCTCCCCACCCTGTCATTCGTATGAAGGCTAGTTGTATTTTTTTAATGTATATATTAATATATAAATCCATTGCATTAATTGCTGACTTGCAAATCTCTGGGGTGGGGGAGGGCGAGGAAACGTGTGAGATTAGGATTTTACTGGGAGAAATTTCATTTAGCAAATGATTAATTTTTTGTCTATTTTCGTGTTGTGTGATTCCTGTTTTTGTAAAATATTTTACATTGGTTTCTACTCCTGCGTCTCTTGGCTCCCCCCTTCCTCCCCCCTTCTTCCCCCCCACCCCCTTGCTTTCCCCACCCCCTTCTCTCCCCACCCCCCGTCTCCCCCCTTTCTCTCCCCACTCCCTTTCTCCCGCCTTCTCTCCCACCTTCTCTCCCCACCCCCTTTCTCCCCCCTTCTCTCACTTCTCCCCTTTCTCCATTTCCTATTCCCCTTTCTCCCCCTTTCCCTCTTTCCTCTCTCCCTTTCTCCCCCCTATCTTCTTCCCTTTCTCTCCCGCTCTCTTATCAGGCTTCTCCCCCTTCCTTCTCTTCCTTCTTCCCCTTTCTCCCACCCCTCTCACCCCCTCCCCCTTTCTCCTCCCCTTTCCCCTCAATCAGTCATGTTCTGCCTTCTAGGTCGAAGGTTGTGGTGCGTCGTTCTCCCCCCCTCCCCCCCCTGCCCCCCCACACCTGTACACACAGATAGTCGGCTGGGATTTTAGTCTGACCAAATATATCATCTGAGGTGGGGGGGAAGGGGGGCAGAAACTGCATTATCAGAGGTTTCGTCCTTTGAGGGAGACTTTAAGACCCAGGCCTCGTCTGAGCCTATTTTCACCTGAGAAGAGAATGGATTTTTCTCCCGGTTTCCCTATACTTTGTGTTTGACATGTACGGAAACCCATCACCGTGATCAGCCGGGTGTCTTGACACTCCCATCTCTGTGCTTAAGTCTCCAAACCAGACTGAGACCTCCACATATGTATGTTGCCTCCACATTGGAATCTCTTGTGTTTGGAAGGGAATGCACACTCTTTCCCTGGAGGGACGCATCCTGCTTACCTAATTCTGGAGAGTATTAGTTGCAGGTTTGCAAGGCCAAGGCTTGGAGACCCCAGAGTGTGTGTCGGGGATAACTGCTGAAGCCTAACCATCTAAAACCACGTAGCTTGCCATTGAGAGTACTGTCTGGCAAGCTTTCCCGCTGCTTGTCTACCTTAGGACCACCACTATGAACAACATCAACAGTTTGAATTTAAAAGTGGGGTTTCCTCAGAACCGAACTGGCTCCAAGGTGACATGTTTGGCAAAAGAATGTCAGAATCCAGCCCACCCTCTGTGACGGTCTCTAGTCTGGTTCCAGAGCCAGACGGTATTCCAGGGCACTCACTGCTGATGACAGCACAGCTCAGCTTGGCTCAGCGGCGGGACCTGGAAGGGCAGACCAGTCACTGGGGGCAGGGAGTCATCCTGTTAACCCTGCAATGGGTGGGGTGGTCCTAGCTGGACAAGACAGGGCTCTCAATGGAAAGCTATGTGGTTTTAGCTGGTTAAACTCCCAGCAGTTACTCCAACACACACTCTGGGGTCCCCCCAAACCTTGGCTCCTGCCAACCTGTGCCTAATACTCTCCGGAATTAGGTAAGCGGGATGTGTCCCTCCAGAGAGAGAGAGAGCGCATTCCATTCCAACAATCTATCTCTGGGATTTCCATGTGTAGGTGGGATGTATAGAAATCTTAGTTTGATTTGGAGACTCGTAATCCTGGTGATGGGTTTCTGCATAGTTCAGACCCCCGATTACCAAAACAAATTAAAAAAATTATAGAATCTTACAGCACAGAAGGAGGCCATTCAGCCCACCGTGCCTGTGTCAGCTCTTTGAAAGAGTTACCAACTAGTCCCATTCCCCCACTCTTACCCCATAGCCTTGCTAGTGTTTCTTGTTCAAGTACCTCTCTAATTCCTTTTTGAATGCTACTTGGATGCAAACGAGAGACCTGGGTTTGATTCCTGGCAGGGCGAAACTTGGACAAGTTTCCTTACACAACACACCTGATGATAATCCCTCAAGTAAAAAAAATTGGGCACTTCAATCCATGACTGTTTGTGAGGCACTGCTGTGCACAATTGGCTGCTGCGTTTCACCCACAAAACACACAGTCACTACACTTTACAGTATATTCTGTAATGTGCTTTGAGATGTCTAGAAGCGCTATATCAAATGCAAGGATTATTATTACTATAGAATCTGCTTCTATGATGATTTTGCATTTGTTATAGCACCTTATCATGTCTTCGAGACGTCTCAAAGCACTTCACAGAATATACTGTAAAGTGAATTGACTGTATATTTTGTGGATGAAAAGTGACAGCCAATTGCACACAGCAGTGTCCCATAAACAGTCGGGGATTGAGTGACCAAATTATTATTATTAATTTGGGGGGGGAGGGATTATTACCCCCAGAAAGCGAACCGCCAATCGACTAACAACCAGATTCCTATTTACTGCTAAGTATACAGGTGTGTGGAGTAAGGAAACTTGCCTAAGGGTTGACTGTGTAGTGTATGGATGAAACACAACAGCCAATTGTGCACAGCAGTGTCCTAAAAATATATGTTCCTTCCCCTCTCTGTCTGCCTGCAGGGGGCTCTATAGTTCTCCGATTTCCTAGTGGGAGGTGACCTGACCTGGGGCGCAATGGGTACCGTCCTCTCCCTGTCCCCCGGCTCCAGGAAAACAGGCATTTTTGAGGACAACTCGGGGTCCTTCAGCCACCGCCATGGCGTGTCTAGTGGCAAGACTCAAGGACAGCCGGAGAAAGAGAAGGAGAAAGAGAAAGAAAAAGGTTTCAAGCGCCACTCCATGTTCATATCGGCCCTGACGTGGAAACGGCTGATGGCTGCCTCCGCTCGGAGGAAGGGATCAAAGAAAAATCAGGCAACGGTGGGGCAGCTCAATGGAGAGAACATCAAGAGGTCCATGTCCTGTGCCAACTTGTCCAGCTTTGAGCTCCAACCGGCCAACATCCCTACCAGTGCCAAACAGGTCCAAGCCAAGAAGCCCCCATCACACAGCCCAGGCATAGGGTCTCCCCGGAGGGTCATAGTCCAAGCCTCGACCAGCGAGCTGCTCAAGTGTTTGGGGGAGTTCCTTTGTCGTCGCTGCTACCGCCTCAAGCACCTGTTGCCAACGGACGTCATTCTGTGGCTGCGAGGCGTTGACCGTTCCCTGTTGCTTCAGGGCTGGCAGGACCAAGCGTTCATCACACCGGTCAATGTGGTCTTTGTCTACCTGCTGTGCCGGGATGTCATCGACGGGGACCGTGTAGCGAGCGAGCACGAGCTTCAGGCCTCCCTCCTGACCTGCCTGTATCTCTCCTACTCCTACATGGGCAACGAGATTTCCTACCCCCTCAAGCCCTTCCTGGTGGAGAGCGTCAAGGAGGCCTTCTGGGACCGCTGCCTCTGCATCATCCATGCCATGAGCGCCAAGATGCTGCGCATCAACGCTGACCCCCACTACTTCACCCAGGTCTTCTCTGACCTGAAGAACGAAGGGGCCGCGCTGGACTTCAGCCGTGTCTCCATCACCCTGGACCGGTGACTGCTGGCGGGGAGGGGAGGGGGTTTGAGTGGGCCGAGAGGAAGTGGATCAAGATGTAGTCAGTGGTGAATAGTGGCTGGCCCCTTTAAGGAGTTGGGAGCAGGTGGTCTCTTTAAGGTGACTGGCCTCTTTGAGAAGTTTGAATGGCCAGGTCAGCCCCTTTCAGACATTGGAGCGCATGGCAACGTCTCCCCTTCAAGACATTGGATTGGAAGTCCTCTCATCTTTAAGATGTTGGAGTGGAAGGCCCCTTTAAAACGTTGGAGAGGAAGGTGCCTCCCCTTTAATACTTGAAGTAAAAGGTCCCTTTAAAATAAACCCAATTAAATTCAGCATCGTCTCTCCCCCCTCACCCCCTCCCCACCCCGATCTCTTGTATTTAACAGTCAACTTCTGGCATCTTCTCAGCCCTCCCTTCACTCTGCCATCCAGTATTCACAGTTAAAGGGGCAGCACCCTCATGGTGGGAGGAGAGAGTTTCTGTCCGAGCTGAGGTGAGACTGTCGGGGAGAAACATGCGCTTGCTCACGAAGCAGCTCCACACAGGGTTAAACACCGAGCCATTTCAGTGATGTTCTCCTGTGCAGAGGGTAAATCATTACCATTTGGGGTGCGTCCTTCACACATGCCATTTGCCCCCTGTTTTTGCCCCCTTCTGCCCTGCGGGGAATTGATTCATAAGGACGAGGTCTCTTTTCCCTCTTCAAATCTCTCCTTAGTGGAGGAAAGTTACAGCACTAGATGTGTTAAGATTTTTTTGGTTGATGCAAGTCAGAGCCCATCATCACGATCAGCCGGGTGTTGCACACAGAAACCCACCACTGTGCTTAAGAGTCTCCAAACCAGATTGAGAAGCCCACATAGTGTTTGCCACCTACACATGGGAATCTCCCTGTGTCTGGAATGGAATGCGCTCTCGCTCTTTCTCTTTCTCTCTCTCTCTGGAGGGATGCATCCTGATTACCTAACTCTGGAGAGTATTAGGTGCAGGTTTGCAAGAGCCAAGACTTGGGGGGACCCCAGAGTGTGTGTTGGGGTAACTGTTGGAGTCTAACCAGCTAAACCCACACAGCTTGGCCAGCTTTCCCGCTGCTTGGCTAGCGAGGACCCCCCTCCCCGTTAGGGCTTTGGCTGCAGGGTTACCAGGAGCTGAGGGGGACCAGTGACTGGTTGGCCGTTCTAGGTCCTGCTGATGAGCCAGACTGGGCTTTGTAAGCCATACTGCTCTGAATTCACCCTGACCCCACCCCCCCCGGCCCCCCATATTGTTCAGTGATTGGGGCTGTTTAAAAAAGAAAAGGTAAAAATTCTAATTGTAAAATGTATGTGAAAAAAAGGAGGGGGGAGAGAGAGTGAGTGAAAGCGAGGGTGAGAATGAAAGCGAGGATGAGAGCGAGAGTGAGTGTGAGAGGGAGTGAGTGTTAAGGAGTGAGTGAGTGAAATAGTGAGAGTGAGTGTGAGAGGGAGTGAGTGTTAAGGAGTGAGTGAAATAGTGAGAGTGAGTGTGAGAGAGTGTGAGTGAAAGCGAGTGAATGAGTGGAAGGGAGAGTGACGAGAGTGTGAGTGAGTGAGGGAGTATGAGAGAGTGTGAGTGAGTGAGAGTGAGTGAGTGTGAGAGAGAATGTGAGAGAGTGTGTGAGTGAGAGAGTGAGTATGAGAGTGTGTGTGAGTGAGAGAGTGAGGGAGAGTGTGTGTGAGTGAGGGAGAGTGTGCGAGTGAGGAGAGTGTGTGAGTAAGGGAGTGTGAAGAGTGAGTGAGAGAGAGAGTGTGAGAGAGAGAGAGAGTGTGAGTGAGAGAGAGTGTGAGAGAGAGAGTATGAGAGAGAGTGTGTGTGAGAGAGAGAGTACGAGAGAAACAGTGCGAGAGAGTGTGTGTGAGAGAGTGCGAGGGAAAGAGAGAGAGAGAGAGTGTGAGAGAGAGGGTGTGGGTGAGAGAGAGAGAGAGAGATTACCCAAGTTCAGGTTGCTGCAATATCTGACAGCAAGAATGTAATATTAATAATAGTCATTACATTTGATATAGTGCCTTATCACATCGTCAAGACGTCTCAAAGCACTTCACAGAATATACTATAAAGTGGAGTGACTGTGTTTTGTGGGAGAAATGCAGCAGCCAATTGTGCACAGAATCCCATTGATATATAGGACACTTAAAAAGAAAATAGGGTCATTCAATCCTCGGCTGTTTGTGGGACGCTGCTATGTGTAATTGACTGCTGCGATTCGCCCACAAAACACAGACAATTCACTTTACAGTATATCCTGTGAAGCGCTTCGAAACGTCTCAAAGACGTGATGAGGCGCTGTATCAAATGCAAGGATTATTATTATATATTAATTCTTAATTTTTGTTATTTACAGCTACAAGCTACTGGCTCAGTCACTCAGCTCAGAGCCTGAAAGTCATGGGTTCAGAAACCATCCTCCCCCCCTCCCCCCCAACTCTCCCTCTGAGCTCACAGTCCTGGCTGACGCTCCAGCCCAGCGCTGGGGGGAAAGAGCGAGCGCTGTATTGTCAGGGACGCCGTCCTGCAGATGAGACGTTAAACCTCACTCCCCATCTGTGCCCTGTTCAGCGGACGTTAAAGGTCCCGCAAAGGTGTCAGGAAAAGAAAAGGGAATTTCTCTCTCTCCCTCTCCCCCGGTGTCCAGGCCAACAATCCCCCAGATAAAATTGGTCAATCACTCCATGGCTGTTTGTGGGGACCTCACTGTACACGTATTTCGCCTACAAAGCATACATTCTGTGAAGCGCTTTGAAATGTTCTTCTGATGTGAAGACACTGTGTCAAATGTAAGGATTATTATGACTATTTTTCTGGTTTCAGCCTTGCTGTGACATCAGGGTCTATATTGAATCTAAGGTCCTGACAGAGATGAGGAGCAAAGAATTTGGAACAAAATAATAGAAAATAATCTTTGTACCCGTTCCCAGGACTCAGAGCTTCATAATTGCTGTTTGTGGGACACTGCTGTGTGTAAGATGGCAGTGGCAGCCATTTTGCTCACAGCCAGGTCCCGCATACAGCCATGAGACAAACAAACCATTTTTATCTGAGGGGAGAATTATTAGCCAGGATATCCGAGAGAGAAACTCGCTTCTCTTTTCCAACAGCGCCGCGAGAGATCTTTAATGTCCCCCCTGAATATCAGCCTGGTCTGTGGGGGCAAACCCCCTGATGAGAGTAACTAAGCCAGGCCGACACTCGAGGGGGTGAGATTTATGGACCCTCTGCTTAGGTTTCCTCCACCCTCCCCTTCTCTAATTACTCTCAATCCACTTTTACAGGTGGAGTCCTATAGCTCAGTGGGTAAAGCTCTTGCCTCACAAGCCAGAGGACCTGGGTTCAATTCCCGGGCAGGGCAAAACCTCAGGCAGGTTTCCTTACTCCACACGCCTCTGTTTACCAGCAGTAAATACGAACCCAGTTGTTAGTCGATTGACTGATCACATTCCGGGGGTAATAATCCCCCTCCAAAAAATTAATAACTTGGTCACTCACTGCACGACTGTTTGTGGGACGCTGCTGTGCATAATTGGCTGCTACGTTTTGCCCACAAGATATACAGTCAATTCACTTTACAGTATATGTTGTGAAGCGCTTTGAGACGTCTTGAAGACGTGATAAGGCTCTATATCAAATGCAAGGATTATTATATATTCCTGGACAAATTGGTGTGGTGGGGGTGCGGGGGGTGAGGTGAGAGGAAGGGATTGAAAACTTTACTCTCTCCCTCTCTTTTTGAATCCCAGAAAACACACAAAAAAATTGCCTTTGAAAGGTCAAGAAATTGTTTTGGTCAAAAAAATCAAAGTGTCGGGTGACAGAGTGACAGAGCTGGGAGAAGAGGCTGATTGCATTTACTGGAGGGAAGGCGTTGCTGCCAATTAAAGGGTTGTGAGTTATCAAATGGTGGATAAAAACGCACAAGAAACAATTAACAAATATCACTCCCCAACTTCTGTTATTTGAAAATTGGGATGCTGAGCTCACAGTCCAGGCTGACGCTCTCTCTCTCTCTCCCGGTGTCCTGGCCAACAATTCCCCAGATACACTCACTCGCTCACTTCACGGCTGTTTGTGGGATGTTGCTGTGTGCAAAATGGCTTCCAACCTATGAAAAACACACAGTCACTACACTTTACAGTCAAATCCCATGAAGCGCTTTTGAGACATCCTGTTCAGGTGATTAATACTGTCGCAGTGAGCATGCCTGCATTTAGAACTGACTGGAGTGGGGTGGGGGGAGAAGAGGGAGGGACAGAAAAAAAACGTACAGAACCTTAACATTTCACGCTCTTCTACTCATGTTTTCCTCCCTCCCCCCCCCCCACCCCATGGTGTTTTTTTGGGACGCCAATTGCTATAATGTCAGTGTTACTGTGAATATTTATTTTCTGTGAGGTTTTTCAGTGAAGCAAACTGTATATGACTATTATTATTATTAATTATTATTATTCTGTTAAGATCTCCCTCTCCATTGGCAGCCAGGGGAGTGGGGGAGCAGTGTTAAACTGTAAAATGACTGCTCTCCCCCCAGCCCCTCTCCCCATCCCGGAGAGAGAGACGACAGGGATGGGGTGGAGACTTTATATAAAAAAAACACTTGACTTATATTGTGTTCTGTTTGTGGTGTGCGTGCGGTGTCTTGTTCAAGAGAGCCGTGGAATGATCAAAGGTTAAAAAAGGTCTCTTGCCATTACTACGCTGTCAGGTTGTGTTTGTGTGGTTTTTTTTGGGGTGGTGAGGAATGGGGGGGAAGTCACTCTATTTTTGGGACGCTGCCGTGTTCTATTGGTTGCTGCATTTTGCCCATAAAATACACGGTCACTACACTTTACAGAGTATCCTGTGAAGCGCTTTGAGACGTCTCAAAGACGTGATAAGGAGCTGTATCAAATGTAAGGATTATTATTACAATATTTCCTTCACTGGTAAAAGGTGCAGTTGCCTTGGGTACTCTCTCCCCGCCCCCCTCTCTTTCTCACTCAGGAGGTTGTGGGTTCAAGCCTCACGTCAGGACTTTGAATCACATAGTCTGAGCTGATGCTCCAATACAGCGCTGGGGGGGTTGTATTGTGGGAGGTGCCATTTGAGCTCACAGTCCAGGCTGACCCTCCAGCCCAGCGCTGGGGAGAGAGGGAGATGCATTGTCAGAGACGCTGTCCTTCTGATGAGATGTTTTGAAGAGGTGACTGCGAGGGTTGATGAGGGAAATGCGGTGGACGTTATTTACATGGATTTCAAAAAGGCTTTTGACACAGTACCGCATAAGAGATTAATACAAAAATTAGAGGCCCACAGTATTAAGGGGAC